AGCCCTGTGGCCCAGCTGTGCCACTCACCCTCCTGCAGGGGCTGGGACTGCTCCACCTCTCCAGGCTGCTGTGCTGGGGCAACTCCAGGGCCTTCCTCCTCCTCCTTCACCCAGGCCACCTGGGGAACACTGGGAGGTCTCTGCTCCGTGTCTCTGGCTGGCTCCGTGGCTTCCTGAGGAGAGACGGCACAGAAAAGCTCTGGGTCACCAAGTCCTGCAATTGTGCCCTGAAGGCTCCTGCAACAGAAGACTTGGGAACTCTCCAGCTCATCAAGTCCCATGGTCTGGCCTCGAGGGCACCTGCCACAGGGACTGAGATGCCTTGAAAAAGCTCCAGTTCACCAAGTCCCACTCTCTGGCCTGGAGGGGGCACATGGGAGAGTGGCCAGAAGGAGCAATTTGCCCAGTTTCCCCCGAGAAGTGCTTCCCTTCCCACCCCACTGGGCTGGCCTCAAAGGCTGCGGGGGCCCAGCAGACCAGTTTGAGGGCCCACACAATCCCTGCCCGCAGGCTGCTTACTTGAGCAGAGACAGCTCCGTCCCCAAGAATGTCCCGACTGGGAGCATCGGGCAGGCGCTGAACGGGTGTGCTCTCAGTGTCTGCCATGCCCTCAGTCGTTGCCCCGTCAGCCTCCGTGGTGAGCTCAGGCAGCGCCGTGTTGGAGTTTGTCCCATCATCAGTCACCACACCATCACAGAGTGCTGTGCCATCAGTCGACGCGGTGCCGACTTCAGGGTGCGCCTTGAGCTCACTCGGCGTGGGGTCAGGCTGTGCCAGGACCTCAGTTGGTGTGATCCTGGTCTTTTTACGCCGAATGGCCAGGGACGTCAGACAAGCCTGCAGGAGAACGAAGGGCAGGGAAGAGAGGGATGTGCCATGGAGAGCTCCGACAGTGGTGCCAGGCTGAGCAGGGACGGCAGGCCCAGCCCAGGAGGCTGTGGCTGCAGGTACCTGTGCTGCCCTGCGGAAGTGGCCACGGGCACGGTCCTGTTCTTGTGTCCGGTCCCGGCCTGGATCTGGCAAAGAGTGAGCACGGTCAGAGCTGAGGGGCTGCGGGACAGGCCGGAGGACACAGCCCAGCCCTGCGCTCCACAGGCAGGGCCAGCCCCGGGATGCCCAGCACGTGGAGCTGCCAGTGGATCAGCCCTGGGCCCTCCTACCCCCTCCCTTTCTCTGGTCATGTCCACATGGAATGGGATGGGCTGAGGCCTATCTGGCTGCAGGCACCAGCCCTGTGGCCCAGCTGTGCCACTCACCTTCCTGCAGGGGCTGGGGCTGCTCTGCCTCTTCAGGCCGCTGTGCAGGGGCAGTCTCAGGGCCTTCCTTCTTTTTCTTCCTCCTGAGAAACCTGCACAGGCTGAAGCGTCTCTCCGCCATCCTACCGTCGGGCCTCAAGGGCACCTGCTGCAGGGAATGGAGACGCAAGGAAAAAGCTCCGGGACACAGAGTCCCAGAGAATGACCTCGAGGGCACCTGCCGCAGGG